GATATATGTTTTTTTGTTCCAAAATTTCAACCCCACTATTTGCTACAATGTTAAAATTACCAGGGGTATATAAAACTTGAAATGAAGTTTGAAACGCACCATTTTGAACTGAGGAAATTTCCAGAATAATCAGAGGAACCTGTTTTGAACTCAAACCATTTAGATTCAAAATGTTTTTGTACACTATAGTCGCCTCATCACTTGTAATAAAGCAGAATCCAAATCTCACTTCAATTCTATACCTTAATATCCTATCTCAAGGTTTTGCATTGATAAAAGAATTAACAAAATACCCACTTTTATTATGTCCACACAAAGACAAGTGTACACAATGGAATTTGTAGCTGCAGATATTGGCTCATGTTCTCTGTAGGCTTTTATAGGCCACTGATTTACCATCTTTTAGAGTCTTCTCAAAAATGAATCCCCTCCAGATTCTCCGATTAGATAAAATTGGTTACCATGAATTTTTTGCAGAATGAGAAATGCAATATAAAAAAACCAGAATTAAGTGGAAAAATATATAACAAAAACAACCAAAATAAAGAAATGGAAAACAATATGTATCCAAATATTTTAAAAATCCATACTTACTATTCCCATCCCAAAGGACATTTGTATGGATGAAGGAAATCTGTTAGAAGACTTTTACAGTCCATGGTAACTAGATTTGAATTAATATATCCTTTATTGTAAGTTTTTTCAAGGTTTCTTGTCCTGTATCAAAGCTTCAGCCAAGGCAATTTCCAGTGCTATTAAATATCACTGAGCCAATGGAAGGTGAATTTTACTTTTCCATTGTTTTCCACTATCACATCTGCAGCTAACAACAGGACCGCCCTTACTAGTTCAGGGAAACAATCCTGTTCTGAAAATCAGCACAGGTCTAAGAATCAGGGGTTTGCTTCGCTAGGCCTGAATTATCTTTGGATCTTGCTATTCTTTTCTTCTTGGCAGATCACTTCGTTATCACTCTTGGTGACACTCTACCGTATTCCTGTCTAAATAAGCCTTAAGCCTGTCACATTAGGTGAAAAGACAAGTGCTAAGTCAGGCCTGTGCTAAAATGTATTATGGGCAAGAACGAATACAGGATCAAGAGCATCCTATAATGAATGATCCTGGGGACACAGGCAATTTTGCAGGTTGGCTGCTAAAATCGGCAGGAAGGTGCATGCACACACATTTTAAACATCTTTGGATAGCCTGATTACAGACAGAAGGCAATGGTGTTGCACCACCATTAAAAGAAATAATACAAATGTGGGAGAAGGGAACCTGCCTTTGATTTAAGTGGCAGCAAAAAAGGAGGTGCCCCCATCTTTTTCTGAGGCCAGGAGTAGATTGTATTTTGAGAGCTGAAAGCCACATTTACTCCTGTGTAATGTACACAGGACATACTAAAAACTCTGCAGGATGAGGCCCAAAGGAAAATGGAAAGTAATTGTCTTTGTGCTGTGCATATAAGAGACTTTTCTGTGTACATAGGTGTGGAGGTTTTGACCTGACCAAAGAACAAAATTTGGAGCTGGAGTTTAAAACTACTTTTTAATTATATTTATTGAAATTTTCCATATAATAATAACAAACCAAAAGAAAAAAGAAAAAAATCAGAAGATTAAAAGAAAAAGAAAACCAGAGTTAAGCAACATACAGTTGATTTCCAACCCTCTTTTCAACAGATTTTCAACATTCTTATTGTCCTTCCTGCTTCTTAAGTATTTTATAAGTCCCTTCACCCCTTCATTAGTCCTCATCTTTCTTAGTCTTCAAATCCATAAATCATCCATTCATTTATTTTCTTCTTTCAGCAAAAAGTCCATGTAAGGCTTCCAGTCTTTCAAAAACGTTTTTGTTATTTGTTCTCTGACTGAACAGGTCAGTTCCACCATTTCTGCAAATTCTGAGATTTTCACAATCCATTCCTCCACTGTGGAAATGTCATTATCCTTCCATCATTGTGCATACAATAATCTTGCCACAGTTACCATATACAGTATCAATTTACCATGAATCTTTTCTAATTCATTGCCCATAAGTCCCAAAAAGAAGAGTTCTGGATTCATACCAATTTTAATCCTTAAAATCCTTTGCATCATTATATGAATTTGTGCCCAGAATTTCTTAGCTTTCTCACAAGTCCACCATGCATGATAAAATGTCCCCTCATGTTTTTCACATTTCCAGCACTGGTTTGAAATACCATTATACATTTTTGATAATTTTCCTGGTGTCATATGCCATCATTTTGTAGAAATGTTCTCTTAAATTATGACACAGTGTGACACCAGTTACCCACATTCTTTCCTAAGTGTCCATCTCTATATTATATCCAAAATTAGCAGCCCATTTTGTCATGCAATCTTTAACCTGTTCTTATGTTATACAAAAAAAGTATATACATTTTTTGCTATTACATGTTCATCATTTGTACATACTGTAATTCCATTTCAAATTCCATTTTATATTTTTCAATTCCAATTGTCTTTTTATCCATATTAAACCTTTAACTGCACGTATGAAAACCACTGAAAACTATATCCTTCTGCAGTCCATTGTTTTCTTGACTTCACCTTAATTTATCCTTCATCCTGTATTAATAAATCTTGATATGTTAACCATTTATCTCTGTCTGCTGTTTCTCTTCTATAAAATGCTTCCTGTGCTGAGGTCAATAAAAATATCTTCGGGCACAGCCTGGATTTGTATTTATTCCATATTCTCAATATGGCACTCCTCACATAGTGATTTTTAAATCCACATTAACTTTAACTTTGTCATACCATAAAAACCCATGTGAGCCAAACCTCAAGTTATGATCTTCCAATTCTACCATTCTTTTATTTCTCAACAGAACCATTCCTTCATCCAAACCAAAAAACAGACTGCAGAATACAATTTGAGATTAGGTAGTCCTAGCACTCCTTTTTTTTTTTTTTTTTGGCATCCTGCAGTTTTTTATATTTAA